CGAGACGCTGCGTCTCGGTGCCATACTTCCGGCGTCCCTGCCGGCACTTGCTTCATTCCTAGAAGCTGACGCTGGCTCCGCCGCACGTGCTTTTATAGCTTCCCGGTCATGACGTCATCCGCCGTGACGTCCCACTCAACTATTGGACTGATTTCACATGTGATTCAGAGCGTGGGTCACTGAAGGCGTTCCCCTAGCGTTCTCGATGCAGCGTCTCGTTCCCTCGAGGAACCAGGGTTACATACGTAACCTGAGACGATTTTAGTTTTTTTGGATGAACTGTCCCTTTAAGTGGACAAATTGTGTCATCATAACAGACATTCAGTACCATCATCGCTAAAAACATTAAAAAACTGGTGCATTTACATTGTGTATAATTTGTGGACCATACATTACTCATTATTCTGCTGTCAAACATTTCAATGGACCTGTAGGCTACATAAGTTTTATTTGACCTTGGGTGTTTGTTGTGTAAAACATCTGTCTTTAAACAGAGAATGGAAGCATTTGCCATTATTTGTGTGATCTGTTGAAAGAAAATGTGCAGATTATTTATTAGTTTACTTAACATCATCTCGATTCGCCTGTCTAGATGTGAGGATGATTCGATTTCAATTGTTTTTTTTTCCTTCCTTTTTTTCTAACAATTGATGTATTGCTGTCAAATCTATTGGTTTAGCATGTTTTACCTGCAGTCGTAACCTTTGACAAGCATGTGTATACCCTATCACTTTTAAAGGGGTCATATGATGCGATTTCAAGTTTTCCTTTCTCTTTGGAGTGTTACAAGCTGATTGTGCATAGATAAGATCCCTGAAGTTGCAAAGACTAAAGTCTCAAAATCAAAGAGATATTCTTTATCAAAGTTAAGACTCTGCCACGCCCCCCTAAAATGGCTGGTTCTAACACGCCCCCACATATCTACATTACTATGTGGAAATATTTGTGTAATTTGCCGCCACATGTTCACGCAAAGAAAGAAGGCGTGGTTTCAGTAACCGCAGTTAGTGTTGAAGCAGCCATGTCAGGGAGACGCTGTGTGTTTCTAGATGAAAGCAAAAGCACTTTATTTGGCCTTCCGAAAGTAGATGCATTTAGGAATCTTTAAGATTACTTACAACAGAACAGCAATGCATTTTATGAACGACCGTTTCGTGAACCTAGGAGAGGAGATAATTCTGACTTTGCTATGACAATCTGCCAACATTAACATTTTATTAACATTATTAACTTTGTTTTTAATGAATGATTTTATATGGCAAAAATCCTAAAATCTCTCATCCCGTATTTTGTGAAATAAAGATATTATACTTGATATTTATCATCGATGCATTCATTAGCTAATTGTAATCGATATTCGCTTATCGAAAAAATCTATATATTTTTTTGGATGAACTGTCCCTTTAAGTGGACAAATTGTGTCATCATAACAGACATGCAGTAGCTTACCATCATCGCTAAAAACATTGAAAAGCTGGTGCACTTACATAGTGTATAATTTGTGGACCATACATTACTCGTTATTTTGCTGTCAAACATTTCAATGGACCTGTACATAAGTTTTGTTTGGTCTTGAATGTTTTTTCTTCAGCTGAAATTTTACTGATGGTTGATTAATATTCACGGCCATCTGCTGCGTGATACTGGTTCAGACGGTAAACCGGTTTGAATTACACACATGCATTTAAAAAAAAAAGGCATAAGTTAGCTACCTACCGGTACAAGTGCCTAAGCAACAGCGTCGTGAATTGAGAGGTAGTCCCTGTTAACTGCATACACTTCTGACTAATAGTTAGAGAACTATTAATAACAGACAACTAATTCTTTAAGATCGCAAATAAACCAACTGTAAACGGCCATTAACAGAAGCCAGAGACGCTGAAGAGGAACGCAAAGAGGAGAAAATACCAGTAGCTTACCATCATCGCTAAAAACATTGAAAAGCTGGTGCACTTACATAGTGTATAATTTGTGGACCATACATTACTCGTTATTTTGCTGTCAAACATTTCAATGGACCTGTACATAAGTTTTGTTTGGTCTTGAATGTTTTTTCTTCAGCTGAAATTTTACTGATGGTTGATTAATATTCACGGCCATCTGCTGCGTGATACTGGTTCAGACGGTAAACCGGTTTGAATTACACACATGCATTTAAAAAAAAAAGGCATAAGTTAGCTACCTACCGGTACAAGTGCCTAAGCAACAGCGTCGTGAATTGAGAGGTAGTCCCTGTTAACTGCACTTCTGACTAATAGTTAGAGAACTATTAATAACAGACAACTAATTCTTTAACTGGGCAAATAAACCAACTGTAAACGGCCATTAACAGAAGCCAGAGACGCTGAAGAGGAACGCAAAGAGGAGAAAATACTGTAGCAGGCAGAGCAAGATCACTGTTCAAGTTGCGCATAATATTGGAAGAAAATCCTAAATACTGAATCGGGGGTTTATATGAATGTAGCCTATCTCTGAAGGGAACTGACTGTCTTCAGGAAAGATTAGATGGTATTTTATTTTAATTTTACCTCCCTATAATGCATATTAATGTAGTTTTTAAAAGTGCCGTGCTGCTTTGTTTACAGTTGTGATAGGCTAACTGTAGATTGTGATAAACCGTGAAACCGCCAGAATAATAAACAACAACAACAAAAAACCGTGATACATATTTTTGGTCAGCCCAGCACCACGGCCATCCTACAAGTAGACTTCTATGTCTAAAATGGAGCTATCATTCTGCGATTAGATGGTATTTTATTTTAATTTTACCTCCCTATAATGCATATTAATGTCGTTTTTAAAAGTGCCGTGCTGCTTTGTTTACAGTTGTGATAGGCTAACTGTAGATTGTGATAAACCGTGAAACCGCCAGAATAATAAACAACAACAACAAAAAACCGTGATACATATTTTTGGTCAGCCCAGCACCACGGCCATCCTACAAGTAGACTTCTATGTCTAAAATGGAGCTATCATTCTGATGTGATAAATAGCCTTTAATAATCAAGTTGTCGTGAACAGACAGGATGCTGTTGCGCTTAAACATTTCCATGTAGCATACTCATTAATGCATTTATCTGTGTTTGTGTGGTATTGTTTTTCGACACCTTCATTACGTCCAACACTTAAATCAGAGCTCCAAGTAGCTTTTGATGAGATGGAAGGTCACCATTGATTAGAAGAGATCTTCAGAACCTCTGGTTGAATTGTAAATGAGCAATTTACCTCACCAGAAGTTCTTGGAATCCTATTTGCTGCATCAACCCATCTACAATATGTGTAAATAACACATTAATGTGCTTATGTTGCTGTAGAAACAATTTTCAATTATTTAAAAAATGTTTTTTCTTTTATGCTCACCAAAGCGGCACTTATTTGATCAAAAATACAGTAAAAACAGTAATATTGTGAAATATTATTACAATTTAAACTAATTTTCTGTAATTTATTCATTTGTAAGGTAATCTGTTACAGTTCTGTTATCTGCAATGTATTTTATTCCTGGGATGACAAAGCTGAATTTTCAGCAGCCATTACTCCAGTCTTCAGTGTCAAACAATCTTTCAGAAATCATTCTAATATGCTGATTTGTTGCTCAGCATTTCTTTTTATTATCAATATTGAAAACAGTTTAATATTGTTGTAGAAACTGTGAAATCCTTATTTTCAGGATTCTTTGATGAATAGAAAGTTCAAAACAACATTTATTTGAAGATAAATTTGTATAACAGTGTAAAATTCTTTATTGAGATTTTTGACCAATTTAATATTCCATTGCTGAATAAAAATATTAATTAAAAAAATAGTGACCCCCAAGCTTTTATAGTGTAGGGTAATGGTAAAATGCGAGAAAAAAAAGTGTAAAATATTACATATATTTAAGTGAAGCTTTGATACATTAAATTTTATATTTCTTTTTTAAAAATCTCAAGTTTAATGCATCATGAAGTATGTCATGGCCACTCAGTTCTGGTTATTTTTATTTCCTCAGAATACATGGCTACTGTTGAAAGGCCGGCAATGAAAAAAAAAAAGCATTTGCAGCAAAATGGTGTAGTTATAATGTCTACCAGCAGGGTCTAACTGGACTGTGTTAACCAGCCAAAATTGAATGCTTGACATTTAAAAATAATTCAAATATAGTCTCAAATATCCGATGCCTGCCATTTTTTGACTCTACAAATCAGGCATAGTTTGCATTGCTCAGTATGCGTCATGTTGTGTTTTAGATTCTATCGTTTGCAAGAGTCTGTGGCCTTTCATCTAATGACATTGTATAATGAAGGACAGTCAGGTCCGGCATACAACAGGTGAATTATGCCAGTGTGCTTGTGGAGTTATTTAGGATCAGTGAGCTGGAAAATAAGAATTAGTGGGTTATAGAAGACTCCTCAGAACTGCTGGGAGAAGATTGCTCCTTAAATCCATGCCAATCTGATCTCCTATATACTGTAGTAATTATGAGAAACATTGTGTCACAAAATGAAGCCTGTGGTCCTAGTCCACCCCCTATGTCTTCATCATTGTCCATAAAGACCATACATTCACTGCCCACACATTTCCTTCTATTAGTTGCTCTGCAAGCCTCCTCAGTATAATTTTTCTTATGTGTCAGCAGTTAATGCTACCTACTGTGTATGTATGAAAACAGGTCAAGCAGTTTGTTATTCAATATTTTTATACAGTCTTTCATCAGCTCATTTGCATGTTCTCTAATTCACTCATATTCAACGATTCAATCACTGTGCCTCATTCATTTTTTGACCGACAGGAGATTTTCTGTGCAAGTTAATACCATTCCTACAAGTGACGGCCATCGGGACCAGCATGCTCACCATGACGTGTATTGCTGTAGAGCGTTTCCAAGGAATCCTTTATCCCCTGCATGTCCGCAACAGCTACTTTCTTTGTCATGCCTTCAAGATGCTGGGTGAGTTATGAAAAGAGGTTATTAAAGATATCTCATACAACAGCAGGTAAACTCATCCCTTGTAAAAGCCCCCCCCTTTATTTTACCTTTCCCCACTGTAAGGGAACCCTTCCAAAAATATAAGAAATATATATTAAAAATATTAAATATACATTTTAATGTATAAACATCTATTTGCACTGTGTGAAAAAATATTTGTATTTTGTAATTAATATAACATAATATTTTGTGTATTATAAAATGTTTATATTGGTTTTATGTCTAAATTCAAATAATTGTTTTGAAATTAAATATTAAATAACAGAATTTGTTAATGATGTCACTACTGTAAGGAAATTAAAATATTATTAAAATGTAATTAAAATATTATCTCAACTTTACTATAATAAACTAAAAATATTTATTAGATTTTCTTATTGTTAAAAAAGTGTCATCAAAATAATAATAATAATAATAAAAAATAATAATCTCGTAACTTCTAAACAGTTTTTAGAAAGCAGAATGTAATTTAATGTTATTGAATATAGTATATTTAGTTTGCAGACTCCTTGCGGTCCTCAGACATCGATATGAAATCCTTGAGCTAGACATTGCATAGAAAACAACAAATATTGTGTTTTTTGACTTATTTTACAGTGGCCGTGTGGTTGGTTGCCCTGGCGATCTTTCACAAACAAAGATATTTTAAAGAATGTTTTGTCCATATAACGAAAGTGCAAACCAAATTTGAACCCTATTGACTTATGGACAAAAACAGTGACCTTTTTCAAAACATCTTCTTTTGTGTTCTTTTGAAACTCTACAAAACTACAAATATTATGTCTTGTCCCTCATTTTACAGTGGCTGTGTGGTTGGTTGCCCTCGTAACCGCGGCTCCCATGTGGTTTGTTCAGAAAGTGGAGGTAAACATGCAACTGAAAATAAATACTACATTCACATTCTGTCTGACATTTCCAGAACAATCCCTATCCATTATACACACTATTTTTTTTAGATTAAACAAGCAATTGAGTGATTGCTCCCACTCTGGTGCATGCAGGGACATATTATTTAACAGACAAAACTCAAGTCATTAACAGTCAAACATAAGGAACACAATGAAATAGGTCATAAACATCAGTATTCAGCTCAAATAGTAGTATCAGCTAAATCTATCTGAGGAAAGAAAGAAATGTCCTAGTTTTCATAAGTTTATGAAATGCGTTGTGATTATTAAAGCAAAAGATTACATGAAATAAAAATAAATGAAGAAATGTGGGGGGTAACCAAACAATTTTGGTGACCAACGGCTTTTGAGACTTTTCTCAAAATATCTTCATTTATGTTCCACAGAATAAAGTTATAAATGTTTGTAATGACATGAGGGTGAATACATGATGACAGAAAATTATTTTTTGGGGTAAATTATCAATTTAATGATTATTCTTAAGGTTTTGCAATGTTAGCATCATTGCAAAGTATATGAATACATTTTAATCATGACAACTCTCTGAAGATTTTGGCACGGTGATGGATATGACAATGTTAATGTATTTGGTCTTGGCGGAATAGATCTGCTATGCTGCTGCTGCTGTTGAATTGCTGCTGCTGTTGGTTATTGCTGTAGTTGTAGATTATTGCTGCTGCTGCAAGCAAGTACAGGAACTTGCTACTGCCAATGCATACGGCGATACGGTGCCGTGAGTATTTAAGACATACTGCTGCTGCACAAATAGCATATAAAATAACCCATAGCAGATCTATACAGGTGGAGCTGGGGAAGGTGGAGGGTTTCAGAGAAACTCTGATATTGCGCTGCAGGAATCTCTAGTGAATGCTAGCCAGCTATATAAATGCAAGGTAGTAAAAGCTCATTGGCTGCATATGCAGCATGAACCAATCAGCTTGTGCCAAGTCGTTTAACTCTCTGAATATCATCAGTTACGTTAACAACCCATCAGCTAAACTATATATTAATATGGTACAAAATTATAGGACAAGCTTAAAATGCAACACTCAGTTTTATACAACATATAACAGGGTGTCCTTGCTCTATTCACCAAGGAGCCTAAAAGGGTTGAAGGCCCCTGGGCTAATAACGTAGCATGGATACCCATGTGATCAGAACCTAACGATTTTGACAATAAACAACAAAAAACACTTTTTGTTTGTCCATATAATTCTGGAAATCACACACTGCTTTTGAAAGGTCTGTTTAGCAGATGCTTTCATTGCCAACATTGCTTAACATCTACATTGTTGCTCTCGGTTCGCATAATCTTGGTAGACTGGTACAAATGAAATTATGTTTGATTGACACCCCTGTATTGTGCTGTTATTGACATGCCTGCAACAATAGAAATGCCTTTCATTCTCAGAAGGAAGAAGCGTGCAGTAAGAATGATGGCCACCGTGGTGCTGCTCTTTGTTGCCTGCTGGGCGCCTTTCCATCTGGTCTCCCTCCTGCTTGACTACGGTACCAAACCTCTTGTGCTCTTCCCTCTTGCCTACTGTTGTCAATCTTTTTTCTTCCCCTCACAAGTAATGAAAAAAACAACCTTTTACTCATGTGTCTGTCAGCCAGATGCTGTCCTTCCTGTGAGAGTAGATTAAACACATTCTCACTTCAGATTCTCTCCTTCTTTACCCTTTTCCTCCTCCCCAACCTTTCGTAGAGGTCAACACCTCGTTCCTGTGAATCTTCGACAGGCAATCATTTGTTCTATTATTCTTCTCGCAGTTATCACTATGGCAACTATTGTGAATTTGGTGTAGTACTATTGTCTCCATACACAGATTGTGTGATATCGCATTAAAATGCATTAATACAGGTGTAGCATTTTATGCAATTCATAAACATCCTTAATTGATGTAATTTAAACTAAACTTCATAAGCAAGTGCTGGATCAGAACTCTATGAAATGCTTATGATTAGGAAAAATTCACAGCAAATTAAAAATGTCATCTTATTTATATATTTCAGTGTTATGTCCCATTTATTCTGGGGTCGCATACATTGTTCTCATTATAAATGGACCTGCAGTGGCTTTGGTAAATGGTAAATCACTGCTTTCCATAATTCTGACCTGACTTCTCTGACCTATAGGAGCTATTTTAGTTCCACTTAAGAGCAAGACTGTTTCCCTCCTAATTTTTCAGTGTAATTTTCCATCTGTACTTACTCCTCAAGGTTTCAGTCTTTTTATAATAATATTATATTATTATTTTTCCTTGCCCAGTGTTCTATCCACTCTATTGTCATGTGCACAACACGCATTCCATTTCTTCAGTTTTTTCCAAGGTTCACGTGCTTCTCAGCTGCAACGAAAGCCTTTCAGAAGACAGCATAACAAATTTTTCTATTTCCAGTGAAATTACATTCATTAGCATTTACCTGAGACACACTGGAGCCGGTATGGAAATTAAGGTTTTAAAGGAAACCATGAAAAAGCACAAGTGACACTAACATGTTTGCATCTCCAGAGAAACACTTTACACAGTGCTGTTCATCTAATCTTGACATTGATAGCAGTTCATTCCTTTTTAGTTTTCTCCTTTTTCTTTTAAAAAGCTATTTAGTGATAAATTAATGCACATAGGAAGTCAATAAGTGACTTCTTTATGAGTGAGTCATTGATTCAAATGAAACTGATTTGCTCAAAAACGCGAAGCAAGTCTTTGATTGAGTCATTCAATCGATTTCAACCGTTCAAACAATTCAAGAACAAAACACTATTATGTTGCTCTGAGACACGCAGTGGTTCTGCTGTGGCTTCATTTGGAACTGTTTGTGTTGGTGAAGCAAAAATAAAAAACGTAAAAGGCTGTTCACACCTAGAACGATAACTATAAAGTTTTAATAACCTTTATACTTCTATAAGAGTAGGAAAGTTCGCAATGAGGCAGGATATTGTTGGAATCACTTTAGAATGAGTTTTTCCAGCTGATGAACGATAAAAAAAATTGACAGCCAATAAGAATTCACCTGATCTTAAAGAGCTCGACTAGCAGCAGAGGATGTAACAGCAACACATTGTTATTTTGCATTGTTATGGATGCTAATATAGCTAATATGTGACCCTGGACCACAAAACCAGTCTAAAGTCGCTGGGGTATATTTGTAGCAATAGCCAAAAATTGATTCAGCTTTCAGATGATGTATAAATCTCAATTGGGAAAAATTGACACTTAAGACTACTTTTGTGGTCCAGGGTCACATACTGTATATACTCTAAACCTTGCCTTTTTCATTCCATTACCCTACCTCTTGTGTTTTTAAAGGGGTCATATGATGTTGCTAAAAATAACATTATTTTGTGTATTTGGTGTAATGAAATGTGTTTATGCGGTTTAAGGTAAAAAAACCACACTATTTTCCACATACTGTACATTATTGTTTCTCCTCTATGCCCCCGCTTTCATAAACGTGTCGATTTTTACAAAGCTCATCGGTCTGAAAAGCGAGGTGTGCTCTGATTGGCCAGCTATCCAGTGCGTTGTGATTGGCTGAATACCTCAAACGTGTGACAGAAATGGTACGCCCCTACATACTGTGATGCCCTGTCCGGCCGGAGCGACGAGACAAAAACATTAAAACCCATTATAAACGAGGCATTTGTTGCATCCAGTGGGGACATAATTACAGATTATAATGACTTATACTGTCTTTTTAACATAAAACCATGTCTGCATTTGTGATCGGAGAAATGACAAACAACAAGCGCTACTCTACACTGCTCAAAACTCACGTTTGAATATTCAGTGGCAAATTTTTTATATAAAAAACATACTTACAGTCTGTGAGTCAGAACAGCCGGCATTAGTCTACTCTAATCACAGGATCAGGAAACAGTCCTCCATAAAATGCGCTGGACACATCTGAATATTTGGGTTGAACTGTTCTGGAAGAGTGTTGTAAATACAACTTAACCACTGATTTTTAGTCGTGTCTTTTGGAAGACCAAACAAAGTAGTTGCGCTTTCACAATGAAACACACAGCGTCACACACGGCGGGCTTGAGCGAGCGGAGGCCGGCGGGCTTGAGAACGGGGCGACTGGCGGATTCGACGAAGGAGGTTTCCTCAGCAACCAGCACGGATCAGCTCTAGGCATGACGAAGCGGATATCGTCCTCTTTTGGAAGGCCAAACAAAGTAGTTTCGCTTTCACAACGAAACACACAGCGCCTTCACGACTTCGCGGCAGCAACAATACTACAGCGAGAATAAAAGTTACGCCTTCTTTCTTTGCGTGAACATTTGGGCGGCGTTATGCAAATCTTCCCACATCGTGATGTAGACATGTGGGGGCGTGTTAGGATGAGCCGTTTTAGGTAGGTGTGGTTGACTCTTAACTTTTATAAAGAGTATCTCTTTGGATTTTAGACTTTAGTCTGTTCTCTGAACACAGGTCAGCTGGACCTTGATCTTGACTCCGAGTTTCTCCTAGTCAGCATGGTTCAGATCCTGGGATTCAGCAACTCGGTGTGTAACCCGCTGGTTTATGCTGCCCTCAACACCACCTTCAAAAGTGACCTGCTGGCTCTGCTCACCCGAGGATGTTCGGGTGCAAGAGGTTGCTGCTGTAGCTCGTGTTCCTGTTGGTCCTGGAGGAGTCACAGACGAGTGGGCATCTCAGCAGTGGAATCAGTGGAACCCAGACGGGGCCTGGAGACAACATTTAGACAGGGAGGGATCAGATCGTGTAGTAAACCAGCATGGGATGCTGAACCAGAGAGGCCTACGTCTAACATGTTTCCCCCCATGAACCTTCTCAGTGCCATCAGGCCCAAAAAGACCTCCAGTACCATGATACTAAGTGTTATTGACCCTCCACACACAAACAGCACATCTGGCTCTGACCGGCCTCTCACAGGGATACCTGGTGAGTAAATGTCAACAAAATGAGATTGTAATGATACCTGAACTAATCGACTTAATGACTTAGAAGACAGTCCTGGGAGTTTTAAACACCATCGCAAATTCACAACTATAGTCATTGTTTTCCTTTTTTGCTCCCACAGATAATGATGTAGATTCAACAACCTTTAGACGGCAGTTTTCAGACCTTTGAAGGATGTTTTTGTTTTTGGAGCTGTTAATATCTCCACAAAAAGGATGGGAGGGCGTCACCAATGAAAGAAACCGAGATGTTTTTGAAGTACTTTCAGTCTCTGAGCTTCTGAAGACCACGTATGAACAAGACCAGCTATAGTACATCATTAGTTTCGGTTCGGCTCGGAGAAAGTCCAAAACACACTGGATAGTTTAGACCAAAGACCATATTTTCTGTGCACCCTTCCTAGACTTTGGTGAATATTTTCCAGCTGAATTAGATAATTTCGAGGGGTGAGAACCAGAGGGGCGTAAGTGACATTTTTGGTGAAATGGAGATATATATATCAAATGAATGCTCTTAATGAGCTATTTCTACTGGCAAAAGTACTGTCATCCATGAGTGTACAAATTTTTATTATAAACAATTGAAATCAGTAAACAAAGTCAGATCAAACTATGATAAAATTTTTGTTTTGGTTCTCCTGTTAAGTTGGTAAAATGTAACTTACGCCTTTCTGGTTCTCACCCCTCGATTTGTAGAATAATGAGTCTCATTTATTATTTATTTGGAATTTCTGCTTGAAATCTGTTTGAATGTTTTCACTAAAAAAATTGTGATTCACCAATAAATTTCATATTAAAATTTAGTATAAATTTACGAAAATATGTAGGAACAATGGAAACCACACATATACGCAAAAATTACATACTGTGGGTAGCGTTATAAACATGTTAAGATTAAATCTTATACATAGATTTTTTTTTTAGATCTTAGGGCCTATAAGAGAGTAAGAAAAAGTGTGTTCCTCTACATAAAAACACAGATACTCATATATACAGCTGGCTAAAGAGAGGTCTGTATAATACATGATTATTGTGTTTGAAATGGTTTTAAAGATGGCACACTTGCTTGGCGTTGCACGTGCTCTCAAAGCAAGAACGCAACTTTAGATAGCGTCATATGTGATGAGAGTTGTGCGGAAAGTCCATATATGGAGCTGGTTTGGACATGTTTTATGCAAATTACTAACTTCAGGCACACGGTTGCTCATCTAGAGCATGCAGATTAACATTGGAACGAAGTACAAATGAACGATTTAGTACAAATTCATATACGTACACACGTATTAATGAGAAGTTCTCTTGTGCATATAAATACGAATAATCCACGCAATGATTAGTGAATGAGACCCAATTTCTTTTAATGCCTGTTTATGGAGTGTAGCATTAAAGATTATTTGATGATTGTTTGGCTGTGCTTTTATGTCTCATATCCAGGAGTGTGTGCAGCCTCTTGCCTCAGGGAATGTGGATTCTGTCTCCATGGATGGGCCCAAAGTCTACTGGAAGTTCTTGGAGTCTGCAGGTACCTGCAGAGGCCTTTGGAATTGCCCAGCTGAGTGCGGGCGACACACTCCATAACGCCTACCAACGCGGATTTACATTAAGACAGTTGTAGAGTTTGCAATGGGCAATATTTTGCAATTATATTTCCAACCTGGAAATAGAGATTACATACAGATTAGCTGGCAGAACACACACATTTTACACCCTGATACCTCAGCCCATCATAGTATGAACATCTTTACAATGATTTTAATTATTTAATTAAAAGATCGTATTTTAAAAGATTGTTAATGTGTGTATTTTTCTATTGCAATGCACATCAAGTAGCCTAGATGATTTCATCTGTATATCTTTGTTACATTGTGACTTTGTAAAAATTGCTTATTTTGATGTTTCATTCTTTGAGTTTTTTTTATCTCAGTATGTGGTACTGAATTCCATGTTGTCAGTTAATTTCAGAGTAAACCCTTTAGTATTAAGCTGTAAAATATTATAATAAAATAAATGAATAAAGTTATTTTAAAAAGATAAAGGAGTTGATTGCAATTATTATTTTTTTTTTTAGAAATTAAGGCATTTTTATGCAATTTTAAGCACATTTTACCTTGTAAGCACCACTATTTATAAAAAGGGGGAAAAATTATAATAAATATATTATAAATGATTAAAAATACAATAAGACAATGACATTATTATCAATAAATAATAAAAATCAATAGTAACAATATTATAATAATTATTATTATTATATCATTAATATTTAAACACAATAACACCATGTCTTAAAACATAAATTGAAAAAAATAAATAATTTTCTTTCTTGGACTTCTGATAGATGAACTTGCCAGGGAAACTTTCTGGTAATTTTAAATGTTTTATTTTATTTTATTTTAAAACAAAAAACATTCTACAAACAACTTTGCAACAGCAAACATTTTACATTCATAAACGAGCAAACAATTGTCTTAGGGGAAAAAAAGAGATACAAAACTTCTACTCTACTTCACTGAGAAAATGAAGCGTAGACTGAGCGAGCACTGAGGCATGCATCTGTGTTAGAGGCGTCAAGGCAGGAACAACATGGAGTCAATATAAAACTCAAAAAAAAAAAAGTATAAAATCCTCTGAAAACACAGAAATAGATGGCACTGAACTGCTCAGAGGTAAAAACTCCTGCATCTACATTTGAAGAGACACTCCATATTAAATTCAGTGCAAAAAGATTAAAGATGTAAAGAAAAGGCTGTGAAGATGTGGAAAAAAAAGGTCCCTTGAAATTGATGCAGGTTTTTTTTCTCTTGCTATTCAACTCTATGTCAACAGGTGGCAGTGCCTGCACTGTACAACAACTCTACAATTTAAGAATTACACAGGGAAGGCAGGGGGAGCCATTTTGTTCTGATCTGATTTCAGCTTTTGAACTCCAACAAGTCGGTTTAAAAAGTAAAGCTGATGTCAGATATGTTCTGAAAATATATTTCATACACCAATACAGCTACATAGCTATACAGCCGAGTCAGACGTCACAGTTCATTTACAGCTACGTAAATGAATTAAGAGGCCCCGTTTATTTAGATAACATCTATTCTACTTGTTCATTTTAATTTCAATTTGTTCCTTCAGTTCAGTTTTTAGGCAGCACTTCATTACGCTATGCTCTTAGGGCTTGCATAAATATATATCTATTAGTTTTGTTTAATAGAATTCTTGACAACTATGTACATACTAGACAAAACGTAACTGAACTGTAAGTAGTTTCTGGGTGAGCATAAATTTCCTTCATCTTTTAACTATTTAAAAACACGTACCTGTGCACTACCGCATATAAAAACAAGAACAGCGAGCAGAAGTTTGAAATGCCTCCTTATCCTCGATATTACTTCAATCTGTGGAAGCAGATACAAGCGTCCAAGAGATACTGACCCTGGTACTCTTTCAAGCTTTTCTTTAGCTCTTCAGAACATGAACGGCTAAATTGGCTGGGAACAAAAAAATCCACAGCGAAGGACACGTTTTGTGATTCATATAACAAGAAATGATGTGTCAGTAGTAAGCGACACACTTGGGGTAAATGCAGAACTGTCTTCTTAGTTACTGAAAAACTACAGGAAGATGGCATTAATCTGCTTGTGAAACATCTGGAAGGATTTGTCTGGTGAACATCTCAGTCACGATAAATGCTTCAGGAACACTTACTGTAGGTGAATATTGGTAACAGGTATAAATAATACGCAATTACACAAAATAAATACATCACTTGTTTAAATATAAATAAGGAAAACGGAACAGGCAAGAAAGGCAGAGAAGGTTGAAACACATCTCGTCCTTGCACCAAACAGATGAAGAAAGGTCAATTGTGGAGAATAAAAAAAAATATTAGAAATCACCTTTCACAGACTGGCATAATTCAGGGGCAGCATATTCTGTAACAACCGAAGAAAAATTCCCGTTCTGAACTTCACATGAAACCCTAAACTGCTGACATGCGTCTGAAATCCAAAACTCATTCTGAACCAAGTACTAAACTCATCTTGAAGCATATTTGTTCATTTGTAACTGCGTTCATTAACAAGGTTCGGTAGCTAAGAACAGAAGTGCTTCATGGCAGAAATATGACTACATGTAGTGTGAAGCTTGTGCCTGTCAGTATGAACACGTAAGGCACAGAATTAAATACACTTGTTTTAGTTTGAACATTTGGCGTAACCAAAGGTTTAATGACATCTATACGTAGGCTTTGGACCATCCTGTAGTTTAAAAGCCTGAGGCCAGAGCATCAAGTAACATTACTACAATGCACGGTTTAGAGGGAACACAGCACCCTCTGCTGCTAGCCAGTGTAAATCCTCAAAAAAAGGTCCAGTGTTGGCTTCTAAACCCAACTTGGGCACTACAGAGAGGTGATTCTCCAATGTCTCCGTAACGGGACATCAAGTTCATGCCATGAGACCAACAGACGCACTGAGGAGAAATCAAAGCAAATCTACACCTCTCTGTTATTTCGTTTTTTACTCAACAAATATCTTGCAGTCTTTAAGAGACATTACTCATATTTGTAGTAGCCTCGTTCAACAGCCTTGGAGGTGATGTGTTCTGCTGAATACCGCTGATCCAGGTCTAGCAGAGCCTGTAGTAATGTGTTGATGTTTGCCCGCAGGCCCTCTTTTTGCATCCAACCCCGCAATAGGTCGTACACTTTGTCCATAGGCTGCTGCGTTTCGGCCATCTTGATGGCGTTGTCGCTCACGCCGATGCTGCGGAAAAACTTGTTGTGGTACCGCACATCCAGGGAGTCAAACAGGTCGAAACTCTTGCTTAGAGACTCCTCCTCACCTATTAAATCAGAGCAATGAGACTTCAGAACATGTCTAATGGCTCTTTTGAATATGAACTTGAAAAGATCCAATTATTTTAATGAAAAGAGTGCATTCTGTACTTATAACTAGGGTTAGGAATGATTAAAATACAGAATTAGTTCACTTCTGTTCAGAAGTTTGGGGTCAGTATGATTTTTTTTTTGTAAGTAATTATTCTGCAAGGATGCATTAAACTAATCAAAACTCACACTCATGATATTTTAGTTAGAGTTTTCTATTTCAAATAAATGCTGTTCTTTTGAACCTTCTATTTAAGGAATCCTGAAAAAATTTACCACAGTTTCTTCAAAAATGAAGCAGCATAACTGCTTCCAACATTGATATTATTGTTTCCTAAGCACCAAATCAGCATATCAGAATGATTTCTGAAGGACCATGTGACACTGAGGACTGGAGTGATAGCTGCTGTAAATTCAGCTTTAACGACGTAAGAATAAACAACATTTGAAAATATATGAAAATAAAAACCTGTTATTTGAAATTGTAATAATATTTCACAATAAAATTGTTTACTGTATTTTTGATCAAATAAATGCAGCCTTGGTGAGCAAAAGAGACTTACATCATTTTTTAAAAATCTGACCGACCCAAAACATCTTATTTTTATTTGTATCTTTTTAACATTTTCTTTCAGTTCCATTTTTGGTTTTTGAACATTTGCACTCTTCAGAAAAACAGAAAGAAAGAAAAATAGACAATATATATATATCTTTCTATTGCACTATTTATAGCTAATTAATCTTGCAAATGAGTCTAAACTCACAAACTGAAACATTGTGACGTCTGCTGATGTCTGAATTAACCTCTGACCCGGTTATTGACCTGCTAAAGTCACATTTACTCAATATAAACCAAGAAATGCTATGTTGTACTTATGTACTCTCCAAATACTGTGTCTGAGAGAATATCTTACCAAGTACAGGAACAAGTCTTCTGGGAGGACCATCATCCTACATAAAAAAAAAAAATCTGATTTAGCAATGTTGTGAAATTAGTTAAATTTTTAGGAAATAAAGGTTTCTGCTTGGGAACAAGGATTTTTTCACACATTTGAAGGCACTATCTTGTGGTCTCACTGCATTTTGATCTAAAAAGTTCCTAGTTCTTACTAACCCCTGCCCATGGCTCTGTAACCATCTCTGCCTGTCTTGGGGCTGGGGGACTCGATTGTGGCGATTCCTTGTTGTAGACTGCAGGAGGGAGGGGAGATAGACTGGTTTGGGAAGAGCTGGTAGTGTTTGGCAAGCTGTCGCCCAATCCCCGGTCCTCGTCCTCCACTGGTATGCTCTTGGTGCCCGTTTCCTGTGTTTCTTGCGTCAACAAGGGGCGGGACTCTGGGCATTGGCCCTCTTCCCTCTCTAATCCAGCATTGCGGCTGTTCTCTTGTTCCTCTTCTGATCTTGGGAGCTTATCCTAAGTGATGTCAAGAAGAACAACAACTTATTAAAACTATAAGTGTAAACATTTTTTTAAATTTTTAATTATATAATTTAATTAATATTTATAATAAGTATTATTTTAAATTGTTTAAATGTAAAGTTTAATTGCAGCATCAAAATAATATTAATCTAATGACTCAAAATAATGTATAAAAAGCCAACAAGCACTTACAATAGGAATTTTCACTTCTTCCAAATCATCAGCAGGGCCTGAAATAAAGTTAGTTAACAGCAATTATGTCCATAAAACGTATGTAAT